TGTCAGTTCCACAATATCCTACTGGTTACACAGCTCAGCCCTCTTCAGTGAAGGAGGAGACTACACAGGTATGAGTATCAGGAAAACCAAAAAAACCTGTTACCGTCAATTCCTACTTACAGTGACCCTACAGGACAGAGTAGAACTGCCCCCATAAGGTTTCCAAGGAGCAGCTGGTGGATTTGAACTGCTGACCTTCTGGTTAGCAGCCATAGCTCTTAACCACTGCGCCACCAGGGCTCCTGAATATCAGGAGGGACCACCATATTCGGTGTCTGTCAGGGTTCAATTAAAGCAGTAGAACCAATGGTAAGATATTATACACGTTGTTGTTGTTGGTAGGTACCGTTAAGTCGGTTTTACTTATTCTAGGGATTTGACCTTATGCAATTGTGGGAGCTGGTTAAACCATCCTTGTAAGACTGCTGTCTTCATGTCTGATGCTGGAGTTTGCAAGGTATGGTAGTTGGGACAGGAAGATGGATGGAAAGTGGGGGAGAGGGATGACAAGCTGGAATTCATGAGAGTGGATTGGAACCCATGTCAATCTGCCACCAACTTCAGTGATGTGAGTGTCCCACAGAAGCTGGTGTCCTTTGTCATGGAGCCAAACACACACTTGAACTAGGAATTGGAGTTTAACGACAACATAGGGTAAAGAGGATCCAGCTGCAGGCCTGGCGGTTGCCCCACACCAACAAGCCAGCAGACAAGTGAAAACCGGCATGAGTTACAAGTGTCTGGTGCTCCTGTCCCAACCTTTCGAGCCTAAGAACAATAGGGCTGCTGCTTCATTTCTGGCCTCCAAATCTCAGGCAAAGTGTTTCTGTGACCCACCCTAAACGAAAACATACAGGAAAGAGAGTTCTCGAAATGGAATTCCATTTACTCAAGTTGACCCATTACAAAGCCACCACATTCTTCTTGCCTCTTTGTCTCCATAATCTCAGGGATTGGGGCCTGGAATTTGGGAACTTATTAGCGAAAGGAACCAGAAGACTCAAACCCTATCGTTTTCAGGCAAAGAAAGCTAACTCCAAAGAGGCTAAGAACTGTGCATGATCAACGGCAATGGCAGAGTTATGCCTTCTTTCCAGTTAACACAACTCCCTCCCCAAGCCAACTTCTGTAGCTGTCTGGCCAGTTGTGACATTCAGCCTTGCTTAGGTACTTACTGTAATGGCTATAAGCAAGGGCTTTTAGGTCACAAGATCTGGGTTGGAACTGCTACTTTGCTAGTTCTTAGGTATATCACCTTGAGCAAGTCATTTTACCCATTTGGCCCTGTTTTATAGACACCTAATATCTAATAATGGAAATGATAGTGTCATCATGGGGTTGGTGGGAGACTCCAAGGAGATGATGTACAGGGAGGGCAGATGCCTAGCAGAACAGAAGCACTCAGCACATGTATGATCAGTTATTCTTTAGGCTAAACTTGGAGCATAAGCACTGATATTTCCTTAAAAAGCTACACCAGCATCTCTTTGCTGGGGGCCAGAAGATATCCCTGACTTGCTCCTTTATTGAGAACACTTTGGCCACACTGATTCACTCTGAATCTTCTGACTCAGGGAGCCTTCGACCTTCTTACCTTTTGAAGGTTGCCGAAGTTACCTGAGCAGTTTCCAGTTCCCCTTCCCCTAGCCCTGCTTTCTGCTCTTGGGAACCTCCTTCTAAATGAAAGCAATGGAGCCAAGATTGCTCTTTGTGGAAGGCCTCACCGTCCAGGGCACCCAAGGGGGACGATGTACTGAGGAAGGTAAACATGACCCCTATGGGCTCCCAGGGCTGCTCCTCTTTCCTCCTGCCCCCAGAGGAGCCAGACCCCAAACCCAACAGCCCAATGGATTCATCGGCAGTGAGTTTAAGCTTAAACCAATCTAAACCCGTTGCCTAAACCAATCTAAACCCGTTGCCATCAAGTCGATTCTGACTCATAGAGACCCCATAGGACAGAGTAGAACTGCCCCACAGGGTTTCCAAGGAGCAGTTGGTGGATTCGAAGTACTGATCTTTTGGTAAGCAGCTGAGCTCTCAACCACTGCAGCACCAGAGCTCCTGTTTACGCCAAGGAGTTAAAAAAAAAATGCAAGGGCTCCACTCTAAACAAATCAGAAATTCTGAGGTGGAGCCTAGGTATGGGAATTTTTCAAAAGCTCCCCAGGGAACTCCAAAGTGCACCCTTGAGGTTGAAAACTACGAGTCTAACAATTCTATTTGCAGCAATAATGCTTAAAAACAAAGGCAAGTGTGTATACAAACATAACATGGCCTGAGCTGTAAGGAATACGAGCACACACAAAGCAATCGTCCTCTGAGGTTTCAAACACCCATATATGGACAGCATTTAAGCCATTTGACCTGGCAAATGCTTTCTGTACAGTAGGACAGTGACAATAACTCAGGTCTTTTAAGAGTTACAGAGGGATCCCTTGTGTATAGAAACTGACTTTATGGCGCTACACAACACTACAATTCTATTTAAGTGGAGCCTAAATTTTAGTTTATTCCTCCAACAATGAATGGTGAAATCCAGGAAGTGGTGGTGATGGTGGTGGTGATAGTGTGGGTGCACTGGTCAGGAGAGATGTCTGGTGACTTTAAAAATCATTGCTACAGCTGCTGCAATATCACTACTGTAAATGAATTCCGCAAATGAAACGGCCATCACAGAGCAATCATCTCTCATCAGGTCACTTCGCAAATTTACTACTCCCCATAACTCCCAAACACCTCATTTTACCCTCCTCGGTAATTTGTGTCTGCATACCAGATGAGCAAAGCATGCCAAGTTGGGCTGTTTGTGTACACGCTCTGGGTGTATTATAAGACACCAATATTGAGGTCAAGTGCCTTTTAACAGGCACAAATGTGGGCAAATCTGACTACATTTCCTGAAGTTATTGCTTTTATAAAACACGTTCCACTTCTGTACCCACCAGCAATTATCCCTGACTTAGACATCTGTACCTTGCCCCTTGATCGCTGCCTCTGGGAGCTCCTTTCAGGGGTCACTTCGTTTTTCCCTATCTCACCTCCTCCCCAATCCCAGCCTAATGAGGAGTATGTATTTCTGATGGGGACCAAACTTTTATAACTGAACACCAGAGTTGGTCACGAGTACACCAAAAGCAGTTGGAAAACACAGGAAAGCTGAGCTGAGAATGGGGGCTGGAGAGTAAACTCCTTTTTACATCTGAATAAAACAAATTCCCCACCAAATAATTTTGGCATAAAACAAATCAAATGGTTGGTTAAATCAATTACCTGATAAGAACTTTATACCTTAACTCAATAATATAGAACTCATAACTCATGTCAGTTTTCTCGCTTCCACTTTTAATTCTGCCATTTTCTTTTAAAACTTAGGCTTTAACAAAGACAAGAGGGCTACTGTTTGCCAAATCTCAGCTATGAATTCACAGCATAGAGTCAAAGATACAGCAAAAAAATGTCAATCTGTACAATCAATTTTAGAAAACAATTTAGTACATTTTGTTATAAAATTCATTTACAGGAGATTATTCACATGTACTTACCAAATCTGCTCCTGATAATACATGGAAACATATAACTAAACCAACTATGCACAATAAATTCAAGGCAAATTATATACAAAAACCAAAAATATGTTTTTAGGTAGAATATACTCATGTTGAAATAACTAATATTGAAAGAAGACAGGGCACTTTTAACGCCATGGCAAGGATGAAGCAAACAGCCACATTTTCCACCTTGCAGGAAGATTAACCACCATTCCACAATACTGCTATGATAGCCGCATCAAGAAAGGCCACAGCATACATATGAAAAGCTTTCTGCAAATACTTTTATCAACTGGAACAACAAATAAAGTTTCAAATTTTAATGTCAGGTACAACTGTATTCTGCTGGGAGAGGCTGTCACAGGACACAGGCTCATTCATCAGAAAGGATTATGCAGTTCTCTTACGAATTCTAGCATAACCAGACTAGGTGACTGATAAACACAACAGGTGAACAAAAAGTGTGAGAACAGGCATCAAACTTAACTGGAAATAATACTTTCAGTGTGTGGCAGCAAAGAATGCATTTTGGGGTAAATTCTTAATTCATGTGTTAATATGAGCAGAGTAGGAGACATTCCTGACCCCAAATGGTTTTGTCATGCCTCCTTTAGAAGCTTAAGAGAGTTTTTAGACACAGCTGTCACCAGTACAAGTCTCTGCTAAGTGGAGGGCTTTACAAAGGTAGCAGGAAAGTAAACAAAGTAACAGAGAGACTGCTTGCCAAAGGCACACAGAGGAAGCTTGGAGAGCCCTAGACCCAGACACAGTGGGCTCTCAGCCTCCATCCTGCACTTTGTCACACTGGCACTGCCAAGGAAAAACTCCCTACACTCACAAAGAGGAAGCAGAGGCTGACTATGAGGGGGCCAAAGAGCTCTAAGAAGCCACTTGCACCCCAAGTTACAGGAGTATTCACTAGACATTAGTCAGAAGTCTGGACACCAGTGGGAAAGACACAAGATAACGAAGAAGTAGAAATCTAAACTCTTGGCAACCATAAGCTGTTTTCTTAAAGCTCTTTATAACCTGCTTCTGTAGAATTTTTTACTAACACAAAATCCTTTTTGCTTAAAAAGCAGATGACAAAGAAAATTTCGAATAATGCACACTAATGTTCAGGAATGTTTTCCTACCCAACTTAGCTAACGGGCTGCATAGCATTCATTGTAAACCACTAGTTATTACAACTGTCAACTATTGCTAATATACAGTCACATGTTTATAATACTTCACAAGTTCATTTTGTGTGGATGTTTGGAAAACTGGACTTTGAAGCTTTGTCCCAAGCTTCTTAAATCACCATTCACCATAGCCACTTTCCTTTCACAAAAGCATAATCGACTCTAACACTAAAACTCCTATCAGATATCCTGTAAGAGCAGATTTTCATCAGTAAGATGATTTCTGAAGATCATAGGAAATGTCAACTCTCTTCCTAGTTCTGAATCCCAAGTATTTATACTCCTCTTCACTATCCTTCTCTTTTCAAAAACAGTGCTTCTTTCCTGCCTAAAATATTATATTTGGCCAGCCCCAGTGGTTCCTGAGCTGTGTGGTGACCAGAATTTCTTGGGAAGGTGTTTAACATGCAGCTTCCCAGGCTCTACCTAAACCTGCAAGCCTTGACAAGCAACTAAGCTAGCATTTGGTAACCACTGACTGATACACCAGCTCACAACTGGCTAGGGGTGTTTGATATTGTCAACAATAAGAATTTCAGAGAGAGAACTAGGTGCTTACTCAAATAGGTAGATGAACTTGTCACAGGAATTTAATATCCTGTGCCAAGGTGCCTCATTTAAAAATGTACAATATCAGCAGAACTTTACCTAACATAACTGTATAGTTCCCAAAGTCTTCCCCAGGAGACTCTAGTTGTTTTTTAAATAGAACAAGAGACATCTGACCCAGTAGCACTAACAAGCTTATTCCAAGTAACTCAGGCTGTTAAAGAAATCTGTCTTGCCATAACAATGGTTGAAAGGACCTGCCCTCCTCTCGCTACTCTTTTTAAAAATAAAGTTTGCTCTGTTGAAAAATGATTAACATTTTAAGCAGGGGATAGAAAAGCGGTCTACTAGATTAAATTTTTAAAGGATTTTGTTGTTTGCTATACAAATATACATCTCAACTTTTACAACATTCACTTCAGTTTGACCTCCTTTTCTACATTTTCAACATTTCCAGTCTCTGACTTCAAGGACATTATTACTGATACATAAATGTCCTCTGAAAGTTTTTGCAACTGACAAAAAGTACTAAAGATGACCAAGAGCCTCAGGTGTTAGGATACATTTTCCATGTTTTCCAACAGCACACAAACTCCTTTAAGAAAAAAATAATCTTATCTGGATGGTCCTATTAGTTGGTCATCGTAAGTTTACAGTAGTGCTTGTGGCTGATAGCTTATGTCATTGAGCTTCACTATAAAAGCTTTCTTTTCTTTGAACTACTGTCCTCCTTCTCTAGTCTCCTCTTGTCCCAGTCAGAGTTCCTCACTGTGTGATGGGTCACAGAGCTACATGTTTCCCGTTCCCCTTCACTGAAAGACCTGGTCTCTCTTCTGTGGCTGAGCCATCCCTCCTGCTCACATTTTCTTTTACTTGTGGAAGCATCAGTACTAGCAGCTGGAAGTTCACACTGCATGTGAAATTTGTGGTTGCTCGGAGTGGCTACTTTAGCAGTGAACTGCTGCACAATACTACCAAGATCCTGGTAAGTTATAGGAAAGTCTGGCTCTCCCATAGGAGATGTTGCCCCAGAATGCTGGGGGCTCAAAGATTGTGCATCTCTCAGCAATTTCGCTATGGCTTCAGAGCTCATTCTCCTAAGTAGTCGTGGGTCCCGAAGTCGGTCCTGAACAGGAGGCCTTTCAGGGTCCTTTGAAGTAACAGGAACAGTAGCTTCCCTGGAGTCAAAGGGACTGTGACAAAGAGAAGAAGAATAAGATGTCTTGGCGAGTCCACTGTCTAGCTTGTTGCTGGGCAGGTCGCCCTGGGGTCGGGCCACCTCTGGGGCTATAGCCGGAGGGTGAGTCACACTTCTCTGTAGTACAGGCTTCAGTTTCAGAATCTTCATTGCATCGTGTCTATAGTTTTTGTCACAGGTCTTAATAATGGCACCACGCTTCTGAGCATCCTGAATCAGATGATTCCAATGTTGATTTTCCTTGAAACAAAGAGAAGGGATAAACAATTACACCCCAAAGAAATACTCATATGCTTGGGAAGCACAGGATTCCAGTTTTCATTTCTGAATAAATAATTTCATAAATAGATTCTTAAGAATCCACTACTCGTTAGACAAGACCAAAGGGAAAAAATGTCTGCATTCAGAATGAAAAAGCCACATTACTAAAAAAACACACTGGTCACAGCCTAAAATACAGAAAGAACGTCCACAATTTTTATCAGTGTTAATAATGCCATGTAAGCCGTCATGTAGATCTGCACCAGTTGCCAGTAGCTCGTGCAGCTTGTTAAAATTTAAAGTTAAATTAAAAATGCAGTTCCTCATTTGCACTAGCCACATTTCAAGTGCTCAACAGTCACATATGGCTAGTAGTTAGCATACCAGACAGCACAGATAGAGAATATTTCCGTATTTGCAGATAGTTCCTTTGGACACTGCGGATCTAGACTACTGGCTGCCTCTTGACGGGCTAACATTCTGGAACAGGAGGGCCTGGCTTCATAAAGTTCATACACTTTTGAAGTGTATGTGAATGTTCTAGAAAGAGGCCCATAACTGTTACCAGATTCTCAAAAGGCCTCCAAAATCCCCAAGGGCTGAACGTCTGAATCCACGGAGATACTCTTCCAAAGATATGGTCCCACCTTCTATCTCTTTGCTAGAGAAGCTTAAGTTACGAAAGCACATCTAAGAAAAAACATACAACTCTGTGCATCTCTCCTCTCTTCCTTTAGAGTTCCCTCAGCAATAGACCGCTGCTTTAAAACCACCAGAACTTGGGCCTCTTTAGAAAGAAAAGTGCGCACGAGGGAGGGGGAAGAAAAGACAAAGACTGAAGGAAAGAAAAGAAAAAGGATAGCTACCCTCATGTGGGCTCCTGTACTATTCATAAAGGTGGGTTAGGGTAGTAGTAAGGCTGCATAGTATTTACTTCCTGTGTGACCCTGGACAAGTCACTTGAGCTCTCTGAGCCTGTTTCCTCATCTGTAAAATAGGAATAATATTTTACTTTATTGATTCTAAAATACACACTGTTTTCACATTTTACCATTTATAAATCTGGGATGCCTCTTAGCCAGATGGCAGTTTCCATGTACCTATTCCTGGGGGAACTCATGACCAGGCAACTACAACTCCCTGACTTTCAATTAGTAAACCATTTAAAGAAAGACGGAGTCCCAGTTCTTTTCTGAAAATCTTCGGATAAGACAAGAAAGCACCAGCAATCAAACTTGTGGAATGGATATCAAGGGTTGGAAGAGAATCATGGGGACAACAGTGGTGCACTCTTAAGAAATGCTGAATTAGCAACCCTTCTGATTGGACAGAGGACAACAGTCTGGGGAGAAACAAGGACACTGATAACTAGGAATTGGGAAATTATTAAGAAGTGTTACATTCTGAAGGTGAAATACTTTTAGGAATATCTTAACCAACTCATTGTTTATATTTTCCTTTTTATATATGCACAAGAATGATACGATAAAAATCTGTCTGAATAAGTCTAAAAAAGTCTCTTAAATAAACATAAAATAAAAATTTTAAGTGAAAGTAAAACACTGTATACTAGTAGTACATAAACAGTGATGCATATAATAATCAATGGTCCCTTAGATTTGGTAAACTATGGTAATAATGCTGACTCCACAAGGGTTTTATAAACTTTAACAGAAGTCCTGTAACTAAAATGCAAGGCATGGTGGCTGGCATATCCCAGACAGGCCATGTGGCAGCCCTGGGCTCTGTGACCCACTATCTCTTCCTCACTCAGGAGACCTCTAGAGAGTCTCCGCCTGTGGCTGAAACACATATGGTAAGCAGATGACCTTGCTGCTATTTTTTGCCAAGACTACTACACCTGAACTTTGTGTTTAATCTAATCCTAAAATCACAAAAACAGTTTTCAGAAGGGGGCTATTAGTCTTGGTTTGATTTCTCAGAGCACAAGTGCTTTAATCATTGATTGTATTTTCATAAGGAAACTGGGCTAAAGGACCAAAAAAAAAAAAAAAAAAACCAGTAAGTTGGCAAGCCCAGATGATAATTTGGGAGTTTTCTCTCTTTTTGTACCGCTGTCTTCCTAGAGGGAAAATAATGTCTCTGCCCTTAGCTAGAGGTCAGTGGTCTTCAAATCCAAAAGATTTGGGTAAGTGGGACCCTGGGGTTCACAAGCTTTTAAGGGGGATGTGAAAAAGTTATATGGGAACCAGTTCCCAAATGCCTTGCTTCCTATATGCCCCCCTACCTCCTGCCCTTGGGCTCTTCTGCCAATTCCAGCACATCCTTCACAATTACAACAACTCTCATCCACCCTAGACCTCACCACACAATGCACTGCAGGGCAGGAAAAGACTCCTGGCACCAATGAAGAGAAGACTAAAAATAGCCGTGTCCACAAAGTCTCCTTTAATCAGGGCATCCTAAGAGACGATGTCTCTAATAACATTTTACTTTTTCGGTGTAAACATCCTTTATCAAAATTTGTAATATATTTATGTTGTTTTGGTTAACCGTGTAAAAGTAGTAATTGTAATAGGATATTCAATTGAGAAGAAATTGTTTTTAACACCCAGACCCTTATGACCATTGCAAAGACAATTTTTTAAAAAACCTTTTGAGATAATTATTGAGTCACAGGAAGTTTCAAAAAAGGTACGGAGTGGTCCCATGTACTCTCAATTCTCCCCAATAGTTAAAAACCACAATTTCTTAAACTTTTAATTTATATATAAAGTTTTATGGCAGAGAAACATACTAGCAAGATTAATAGAAGGGATTTTAATTATAAAAATATATTACTCCATTGAATTTTATCTTAAAATAAGTATTAATGTAAATATAATATCAAAGAGAAAGGAATAATATCAGTATCTTTCTATTCCTCTGAATACAGTTAAGAGTGACGTAAGTTTTATTTAAAATGTTTATATTAGAAACAAAACTTTTATCAACTAAAACATGATACAAATTTCTAGATATTAAACTTAAAAATGGGGAGTTCATAGCTTTTAAAAATGCTTTTAAGGGAGTACACAAACAACAAAAGTCGAACAAGAGCTAAATGAAAAAGAATGAGCATCCCAGTGCCCTCTGGTGGTAGTAACCAAAACCAGGGATAAAATCTACTGAATAGAGAAATTAGAGAAACTGAAAAGTTAATGTCCCTGAGACAGCAAATATGTGCCATCTGTAGCTGTGATGGAGTCCTGGTGGCACAGTGGTTAAGAGCTCAGCTGCTAACCAAAAAGGTCAGCAGTTCGAATCCACCAGCTGATCCTTGGAAACCTATGGAGCAGTTCTACTCTGATCTATACGGTTACTATGAGTTGGAATCGACTCGAAGGCAACAGGTGTGGTTTTTTCTGTTTTATACCTGTGGTATCAAATTAAGCTGTAAAATTTGTATACTAAAGATATAAACACATATACCTGTTCCAGGGAAGAACCTATACTGCAATAGGAACTCTGATGGTGCTAAATGCCAAAGTGAAATGTGTAAGTGCTAAAAAGAAAAGGAAACCAGAACGCTTGCAAAGACCCTATCTCTGGCATTACGCAGGGCCGATAATAGGTGCACTTACTAAGTGTTTACTAACTGACGAGTACTGTTCTAGCACATGTATGGATTTATATACGTTCCTAACAATTCTATGACGTAGATCTAATTTAAAAAAAGGGAGGGTAATCTTGAGAGCCTAGTTTACATACTTGGGCTTTCCGCTAAGAAAGGCTGAATGGTTTATGTATGTTAAGACTCCCAGGAGGAAGTTGCTGGAAAACATAACAACCATGGAGAATAGGTTTATTATTTTGTAACCTAGAAACGATTTTCCTTTTGATGAAAAATAAAAACAAAACCCCAACCCAATAACAGTACCAATGGCAAACTGGCCTTTGGAATTCTCTGGTTCACAAGAATGTACATACCATCAAAGTTCTCAAATGTCCAAGGATGAAGAGGCTGTACTTGGCTCGCGTAATGGTGACATTCAATCTCTGCAAGCTTGCCAGGAATCTGAGCAATAAAAAAAGAATTACTTCTTTCTATAGAATGACTTAGGTGAGACATACATAGGCAGTATTTTAGATAGCTTTTCTAGTGCTCCTTCTACTTCTTATCGAAGTCATAGTACTTTCTCACTCTCCTAAAACAGGGTTACCTGGCAAAGAAGCTAATTCCCATTCAAAACTTGTAAACAGACAAATGCCCCAATGCTTTCAAAATCAACCTTCAAAGTGATATATCAATGGTATTTTTAACCTGGATCAGTACTGTAAACTTTACTTTTTAGCAGTATGATTTTTAAGTCTTAAAAACTAGATCAATAACATACTCTTAAATATATTTAAGATTATTAAAGTCCCTGGATGGTGCAGTTAACGTGCTCGGCTATCAGCCAAAAGGCTGGAGGTTCGAGGCTACCCAGAGGTACCTCAGAAGAAAGGCCTGGTGATCTACTTCCAAAAAATCAGCCATTGAAAACTGTATGGAGGTGGGGCCAAGAAGGTGGAGTAGTCAGACACTTCCTGTGGACCCTCTTACAACTAAGACCCGAAAAAACAAGTGAATGGATTATATATGGCAATCTGGGAGCCCTGTACATCAAAGGCAGAGTTGAGGAACCAGACTGAGTGACGGGGAGGGAGAGATGGTTCAGAAGCAGCGAGGAGTTGCCAGACCTGACCTGGCGAGCGCCTGAGCCCTTCAGGCCTGATCAGCCTGGGGGTGAGCAGTGAGGCAGGCAAGCAGCGGTGCTCGGGAGGCGTGTCTTCCATACTGGGAGAGACCCAGCACTAGAGAGTCTACATGGCCACCCAAAACCAGTGAGAAGCAGCCTAGATCGGCGAAAGATAAGTACTTGTGTACGGCCTAAAACACGGATCAAAAACAGCCTCCCTAGGGAAAAACCTCTCTCCTATTTACCTCCCCGCTCCCTGCTCTGCACTGGGTTCTGGACCAGCTTCAGCAACTGCCAAGTCCCCTGGGCCGGAAGTAGGATCCATCACACGCCCGGAGCCATTCTCCTGGCCTTGGAGAGTGAACAAACTAACAAACAGGAAAAAACTGCCAGCTCCCCTAAGCCAGGAACCCAGGGTAGGCACAGCTCCTTTACCTAGGCACAGGCATAAAGGATCCACGGACTCTGAGTGTCTTTCCCCCTGCACAGACTTGTGTCAGCCCATCTCAACAGCGTAGGCCCTCATTACCACACAACAACAGGGTATATACCGGAACTCTAACTTCAGTTGTTTCAGCTGTGAAGTGGCATGTTCCTGACATTTGATTGACATTGCTCTGTCCATTAAGCAGGGTTTTTACCTACCCACATCAGGGGCCTCAGGACTGATGGCTCTACCCATGCCGCCTAGCCACCTGTGATAGGGGCCCATGAATAAGAGGTGCCCCCCAAATCCTTACAGACAACAGTATTAGCTGCTCATAGTCTGGCTGCAAAACCCACCCACCTATGCACTCTAGGGAACAGGGACACATCTTCCTCCTGGACACTTGTGGGTGGCTGTCAGCTCCCTGCCTTGCTCAGAGTGCGTCCCCCTGCTGCAGCCGGATGCGTGTGCCTACACCAATCACCCATGCCTGTCTAGGACTGTGAGAGCCTATACCACACACTTGGTGGCTATTTACCTGGGCACCTAAGCTGAATCCATACAGGAAGAGTGGGCAGACTCCTGAGCTCACATACCTAGTAACGTATCTAAGCACCTGGTGACAGGATATTAGAGCTTCAAAGGTGCCAATAATCAAACTAGCTCATAGGAGCAGCCTACTTGGGCATATCAAAACAAAACAAGAAGCTAGGACAAGTAAGCAAACATAAAATAAATAAATATAATAACTTATTGATGGCTTGGAGACAACAGTCAATATCAAATCACATAAAGAGGAGATCCACGATGGCTTCAGCAAGCTCCCAAAATAAAAAATCCAGAAATTTTCCAGAGGAGGAAAATTTCTTGGAATTACTGGAGGCAGGATGCAGAAGATTAATACACAGAATTCTTCAAGAAATCGGGAAGGAAATTAAGCAAAATACAGAACACACAATAAAGGAAATTAAAAAGATAAGAGCATACTGACAAATTTAACAGGCTGTAAGAATCCATAGACAGCAATCAGAAATCCAGATTAACAACAAAATTTCAGAATCAGACAACTCAAAGTCATAGGAGCAGAACTGAGGCAACAGAAGTCAGAATTAGTGAGATTGAAGATAAAGCAATTGACCCCAACTTATTTGAGGAAAAATCAGATAAAAGGATTAAAAAAAAATGAAGAAACCCTAAGAATTATGTGGGACTCTATCAAGAGGAATAACCTACGAGTGATTGGAGTACCAGAATAGGGTGGGATAAGAGAAAATACAGAGTGAATTGCTGAAGATTTGTTGGCAGAAAACTTCCCTGATATCGTGAAAGATGAGACGATATCTAACCAAGAAGCTCATCGGACCCCACATAAGGTAGAGCCCAAAAGAAAGTCACCAAGACATATTATAATCAAACTTGGCAAAACCAAAGATAAAGAGAGAAATTTAAGAGCAGCTAGGGATAAATGAAAAGTCATCTACAAAGGAGAGTCAATAAGAATTAGCTTGGACTACTCAGCAGAAACCATGAAGGCAAGAAGGCAATGAGATGACATATATAAAGCCCTGAAGGTAAAAACCTGCCAGCCAAGAATTATATATCCAGCAAAACTGTCTCTCAAATATGATGGTGAAATTAGAGCTTTTCCAGATAAACAGAAGTTCAGGGAATTTGCAAAAACCAAACCAAAACTGCAAGAAATACTAAAGGCAGTCCTCTGGTTAGAAAATCAGTAACAACAGGTAACAACTCAAGACTACAACACAGGACAGAGCAACCAGGTATCAACCCAGATACGGAAGTCACAAAAGTAAATCAAACCTAAAACACTGAAAATAGGGAAACAGATGTCAATATGTAAAAGATGACAACATTAAAACAAAAAAGAGGGACTTAAAATACGTAGACATAGATTTTTCATATAGAGAGGAAGTCAAGGTGATACAAAGAAATAAAAGACTGGTATAAACTTAGAAAAATACAGGTAAATATTAAGGTAACCACAAAGGAAACTAACAATCCTACAAGTCAAAATAAAAAAAACTAGAAAAATATAAAGACTGAGCAAACACAAAATCAAAACCAATGAAGATGATGAAAAGAAAATACATAAAGAAAAACGACTCAGCACAGAAAAATTAATTGGAACGAAGAAACTGTGAACAACACACAAAAAAGACATCAAAATGACAGCACTAAACTCATACCTATCAATAATTACGCCGAATGTAAATGGACTAAATGTACCAGTAGAGACAGAGAGAGGCAGAATGGATAAAAAAACATGATCCATCTATATGCTGCCTACAAGAGACACATCTTAGACTTAAAGACACAAACAAACTAAAACTCAAAGGATAGAAAAAAATATATCAAGCAAATAACACTCAAAAAAGAGCAGGAGTGCCAATATTAATCTCTGACAAAATACACTTTAAAGTAAAATCCACCACAAAGGATAAGGAAGGACACTATATAATGATTAAAGGGTCAATACACCAGGAGGCCATAAATATAATAAATATTTACACACCCAATGATGGGACAACAAAATATATGAACTCTAACAGCACTGAAAAGAGAGAGAGACAGCTCCAGAATAGTAGTAGGAGACTTTAACACATCACTTTTGGTGAAGGACAGAATATCCAGAAAGAAGCTCAACAAAGACACGGAAGAGCTAAATGCTACAATCAACCAACTTGATCTCATAGACATACGCTGTAAACACTCCACCCAACAGCAGCCAAGTATACTTTCTTTTCCAACGCACATGGAACATTCTCCAGAATAGACCACATATTAGGCCATAAAGCAAGTCTTAACAGAATCCAAGGCATCAAAATATTACAAAATATCTTTTCTGACCATAAAGCCA